TATCACCTACAATCCTAGCTACTCAGGTGGCTGAGATCTGGAAGATTGAGGTTTAAGGCCACTGTGGGCAATAAAGTCATTAGACTCCATCTCCAAAAATAACCAGCAAAACAACAACAACATAAAAAGTCATGCCATAGCCGGGCGCTGGGGGCTCATGCCTGTAATCCTAGCTACTCAGGAGGCTGAGATCTGAGGATCATGGTTCAAAGCCAGCCTGGGCAGGAAAGACCATGAGACTCTTGTCTCCAATAAACCACCAGAAAGCTGGAAGTGGTGCTGTGGCTCAAGCTGAAGAGCTGAGGGACAGCACCCAAGCCCAGAGTTCAAACCCCATGACCGACAAAAACAACAACAACAACAAAAAACAAAAACAAAAAACTCGGGGCTGGGAAGGTGGATCAGTGGTAGAGCGCTTGCTTGCTTTGCTTGCATGAGGCCCTGGGTTCGATTCCTCAGCACCACATAAGCAAAAAGAAAAAAGCCGGAAGTGGCGTTGTGGCTCAAGTGGTGGAGTGCTAGTCTTGAGCTGAAGAGCTGAGGGACAGTGCCCAGGACCAGAGTTCAGGCCCCACGACTGGACCCCAAAAAAATCAACAACAACAACAACAACAAAAAACTTATGCCTTTGTGATCCACCATCAACTGCTATCATCTTGTGCCTATCTATTGATGGTGTCCTTTCTGAAGGCAAAAGCTGTTATCAGGTACAGGGCTAATAATGCCTTTTTATGTGTATGTATGTCTGTGTAATTTTTGATAATTTGTTGTTGTTGTTGTTGTTAGTCATGGGGCTTGAACTCTGGGCCTGGGTGCTGTTCCTGAGCTCTTCAGCTCAAGGCTAGCGCTCTACTACTTGAGCTCTTGCACCACTTCTGGTTTTGTAGTGGTTAATTGGAGAAGAGTCCCATGGACTTTCCTGCCTGGGCTGGCTTTGAACCATGATGCTCAGATCTCAGCCTCCTGAGTAGCTAGAATTACTTGTGTGAGCCACCAGTGCCTGTCTTTGATATAAATTTTGCCAGGGCTGGGAAGGTGGCTCAGTGGTAGAGTGCTTGCATTGCATTTATTGATGCCCTGGGTTCAATTTCTCCACACCACATAAACAGAAAAAGCCAGAAGTGGCACTGTGGCTCAAGTAATAGAGTATTAGCCTTCAGCTGAAAAACTGAGGGACAGTGCCCAGGCCCAGAGTTCAGGCTCATGACTGACAAAAAAAAAAAATGCCAACAGTTGTCATACTTTTTCCAAACTAAGCATTTATGCTGTTGACTATATATATAAACATCTCTGTACAAAATGACTTGTACTTGATCTTTTTTTTTTAAATACGTTTTTATTGTGAAAATACTGTACAGAGGGGTTACAGTTACATGAGCAAGGTAATGAGTACATTTCTTTCTTTTTTTTTTTTTTGGGTCTGGTCATGGAGCCTGAACTCTGGGTCTGGGCGCTGTCCCTCAGCTCTTCAGCTCAAGGCTAGTGCTCTACCACTTGAGCCACAGCGCCACTTCCAGCTTTTTTCTTTTTGCTTAATTGGTGCTGAGGAATCAAATCCAGGGCCTCATGCATGCAAGCAAGTGCTCTACTACTGAGCCACCTTCCCAGCCCCTAGGAGTACATTTCTTATCAAGCATTGTTGCCTCCTCCTTTGTTTTTCCCATACCATCCCTTCCCTCCTACCTATACTTGATCTCTGGTGTACAGCATTCATCTGTAATGTACTATGAAACACTACTTTGCATTTATTTTACTTGGTAGTGATGTTATTGTATTTATTTATTTTTGGTTGGTCATGGGGCTTGAACTCAGGGCCTGGGTACTGTCCCTGAGCTTGTCTGCTCAAAGCTAGTGTTCTACCATTTTGAGCTACTGCTCCACTGCTAGTTTTCTGGTGTTTAAACTGGAGAAAAGAGTCTCACAGATTTTCCTTCCCAGGCTGACTTTGAACTGTGATCCTCAGATCTCTGCCTCCTGAGTAGCTAGGATTACAGGGGTGACTCAGTAGCACCCAACTATTGCATTTTTTTTTTTTTTAGGCTTCAATGACTCCAAGACACTGTTTGACAAAATTTCATAATACTTAAAGTGCAGTGGGAAAAGAACAAATGGCATACTTCCCAATAAAATCTAATTTTTAGATATTTATAGTTGAATTTTCTATTTAATTTGATTTTTTCAGCTGCTTGCATGCCACATTTAAAGTAACATTCACATTATATATCTTGTTAGATTATTATTATTATTTTTTTTTTTTGTCAGTTGTGGGGCTTGAACTCTGGGCCTGGAAACTGTCCCTCAGCTCTTCAGCTCAAGGCTCTACCACTTGAGCCACAGCACCACTTGCGGCTTTTTCTGCTTATATGGTGCTGAGGAATTGAACCCAGGGCCTCATGCATGCAAGGCAAGCACTCTACCACTGAGCCACCTTCCCAGCCCTCTTGTTAGATTTTTTTTTTTTTTAACTATATGATTTTGAATGAAAATACTTGTTACTTTTTTCATCACTACTGTTTTCATGGTTTAATGTATATATTTATTTATTTCTGGTTTTCTGGTGTTTTTTTTGGAGATGATAGTTTCACAGCTTTTCCTGCCTAGGCTGACTTTGAACCATGATCCTCAGATCTCAGCCTCCTGAGTAACTAGGATTTAATGAATTTATTATTATTTTTAACCTTTTCTTTTCTTTCCTTTTTTTGTGGGGGGTGAGGGGAGGCTTGAACTTAGGGCTTTGAACTCTCACTTAAGCCATATCCTCATGTCTGGCTTTTGGGTGGTTAATTGAAAGATAGAGTTTCAGTGAACTTTTCTGCCTGATCTGCTTGAGCTGGCTTCAAACCATTATACTCAGGATTACAACTGTGATCCACCTGTGCCTGACTAAAACATTCTTGAATTTAAAAACATGTAGTTCGGGCTGGGAAGGTGGCTCAGTGGTAGAGTGCTTGCCTTGCATGTATGAGGCCCTGGGTTTGATTCCTCAGCACCACATAAGCAGAAAAAGCTAGAAGTGGCATTGTGGCTCAAGTGGTAGAGTGTTAGCCTTGAGCTGATAGAGCTGAGGAACGGAGCCCAGGCCCAGAGTTCAGGCCACATGACCAGACCAAAACAATTTTTTAAAAAAATTTTTGGCCAGGTGCTGGTGACTCACACCTGTAATCCTAGTTATTCAAGAAGCTGAGATCTGAAGATTGCCATTTGAAGCCATCCTGGGCAGGCAAGTGTCAGACTCCAATTAATTAAAAAAAAAAAAAAAAAAAGCCATAAGTGGAGCTGTGTCTCAAGAGGCAGAATACTAGCCTTGAGAAGGTGGGGGGGGGGGGAAAGTAAAATTTAACAAATATTTATAAACAATATGAAAATTATGCTGAAATGCCTCAGATTTTAATTAATATAAGATAATATATAAGATAAATAGATCAATGTCTTTGTAGTACATATACAGCCTCTAAGAATGCTGAGAAACTAGGCACCGGTGGCTCACGCCTGTAATCCTAGCTACTCAGGAGGCTGAGATCTGAGGATTGCGGTTCAAAGCCAGCCCAGGCAGGAAAGTCTGTGAGACTCTTATCTCCAGTAAACCACTCACAAAAACAGAACCCACGACTGACCAAAAAAAAAAAAAAAAAAGAATGCAGAGATGCTTAATAGAATATTCATAGAATTTTTGTTGTTTCTAATTAAATTTATATTAAATAATTTGTGAAAAGGTAGTATTATCTGTGTGTGTGTGTGTGTGTGTGTGTGTGTGTTTGTGGGTCCTGTGGCCTGAACTCTGGGTCTGGGCCCTGTTCCTCAGCTCTTCAGCTCAAGGCTAGCGCTTTACCACTTGAGCCACGGTGCCACTTCTGCCTTTTTCTGCTTATGTGGTACTGAGGAATCGAACCCAGGGCCTCATGCATGCAATGCAAGCGCTCTACCACTGAGCCACCTTTCCAGCCCTGGTAGTATCATCTTTGATAAAAATATAAATATGTAGCTAAAACTCAGGAATAGGTGGAACAGGTTTTCTCCATCAGACTCATTCAACTTATTTCCCACACCACTACTAAACTTGTTTGCTTGATATCCCTTACTTAATCTTTTTCCTTGCATTTCTTTATCTGCTAAATGGCTACAAAGTAGAATCTACCTCACAATGTTGTTGTGACCATTAAATGAGTAAACATAAGTGTCCAGCTGTAAATACTCAGTACTTCTGATTATTAGGAATATGTCATCATTTTATCACTTCTTTACTAAAAACCTATCACTTTGTCATTATTTATTTACTAAAGGAGGGCATTCCACTCTTCACTCTTAATCAAATATCTTCATAGTTTTCCCTTGGTGTTAGTTGTAGGTATTTCCCTTTCAGGGGTGGGGAATCCTTTTTCTGCCAAGGTTCATTTAGATATACATAGCTATGGGCTATACAAAATTGTCAGTATAGGCCTACTGGCCGTAGGCAGGCAAAGAGCATTGCAGGTCATTAAGTGTCTGTCTGGTCAAGTACCAAATGGTGTCGTCGCAGGCTTTATACAGTTCACAGGCAGGAAGTTCCCCAGTATTTACTCTACCAAGTCCACAGTAGGCATTCAAAAGTAAGTTACTGAACAAAGGTCCTTTGAAAAACTCTGGAAAAGATTATAAATCACTACGTAAATGAGTATTTACAAACCCTTTGCAAGGGGAACTCGGGCCTTACTCTCTAAGTGAAACTTTATTGGAACACCCATTTTCATTGCTTTTCACTGACGTCACTCGATCACTGACCTCTGACGCAAAGAAGGCGGGATTAGGGAGACAGCTGGACTTCTTCCTCGCCCTGCCTTCCTTGGACTCGCTGGCACAGTACAACTGCCTGGCCCACTGGCTGACTTGGTGTTTCCATTGGTCAATCTTTCCATGGAGGCGGGCGATGACTTGACTCCGCCCACACAACGGGCGTGGCTTCTCAGCCCTTGGGGCCGGGCTGGAGTGTGTTGGGGTGGGGGGTGGGGGTGGCGCGTCCGCCATCTTGGGTTCCGCGGTAGCGGTGGCTGCGGTGGGGTGCCGCTTCTGGGGAGTGGCTCATCCCTCCCCCTCCCCCCCACCGCGGCTCGGTGGCGGCGGCTCCTCCCACTGGGGGGAGGAGGTGGCGAGGTGGAGGTGGCATCTAGGCCATGGCGGCGACTGCTGCTAACCCGGGTGAGGAGACGGAGGGCCGGAGAGCCTTTAAAGGGGGAGGGGCTGGAGGGACTGACAACCGGGGAGACCGCGGGCGGCGCGTCGGCTGCGGGGGCTGCGGGGCCGGGCGGGGGCGGCCCGGGCGGTGGGGGAGGGGCGCCGCCCCGGGCAGTGGTGGGGACCCCTGGGCTGGGAAGAGCCGGCGAATGGGACTGGAGGGATTCTTGCCCGGAGCGGAGGCCGGTGCGGCCCGTGTCTCCCGGCCCTGGCGGAGTTCTGGTGTGTCATGTGGTCTTTGAACCTTCTGCCGGCCCGGATTTGGTGATGCTGAGTTAACTAACTAGACTGGGGGGGCTGCTTGGAGGGTGAGTCCGCGCGTTGGGGAACGTCGGATCGCGGCGCTGTGTGGCTGAGGTGCTGTTTCCAAACAGTTCACACTTTAGGTTTTCATTGAACTCTTCAGACTTCGAATGTCGACTGTGCTTCTCCGGGCAGAACCTCCAACCCCACCCCGCCCCCTCGGGCTACACTTTGAAACTTGCTTTTCCCTTCTCTGGGTGGCCTCCAAGGGGGTGTCTCTGTGAGCGCTGAAGGCCGAGGTTTGGCCGACGCCGGTGGTTTCTCCAGAACTCCAGGTTTAAAATGTTGTTAGACCTAGGTCGAGGCAATTCCTGTTCTTTCAGAAGGACATTTTTCAACGGATATTTTTTTAAAACCCCTCAAAATCTAGCCATGTCTCAGAGATGAAGTAGGTTATAATGCTGGTCTAGAGAGCAGATCTTCCAGACCCTGGTTCTAGCTTTTTCTCCCACTATGTTACAATTATTTTTCCCTAGGAATCATTTCATTTTAGAAGACCTAGTTTACCTTGCCAATCTTGGCTGTTTTCTTGCAAAATTTACTGCATTGTTCATTAAAAAAAAAAAAAAATCCCTATCTTGGGGCTGGGAATGTGGCTTAGTGGTAGAGTGTTTGCCTAGCATGCATGAAGCCCTGGGTTCGATTCCTGTGATTCAAGTGGTAGAGTGCTAGCCAGGACTGGCCAAAAAAAAAAATCCATGTAAAATCTGTATCTTTGATAGCCTTTTAAAAAGTTAATGGAACGGTGGTGGTGGTGGTGGTGGTGGTGTGTGTGTGTGTGTGGTGTGTGTGTGTGTGTGTGAGAGAGAGGGAGAGAAAAGGGAGGGAGGAAGGAGAGGAAGACTCCCTGCTGTTCGTACATTTTTTTTTTTTTTTTGGAATTCATACTTGATTTTCTTATTTGTGAAAGGCAATATTGTGTTTTTTTGTTTTTGGTTGAGCCACAGTGCCACTTCTGGCTTTTTCTATGTATGTGGTACTGAGGAATTGAACCAAGGGCTTCATGCTTGCTAGGCAAGCATTCTACCACTAAGCCATATTCCCAGCCCAAGGCAGTATTGTAATATACAGGTTTTGGTAGTATAGCTGAATCACTGTGAAATTTATTGTGTTTCTGGGAATAGTGGTATTTTAAGAAGTGGTTAATTTGTCACAAGTCAATGTAAGGTTTTTTTAATTGTTTAAAACAATTTTATAAGGACTGGGAAGGTGGCTCAGTGGTAGAGCGCTTGCCTTGCATGCATGAGGCCTGGGTTCGATTCCTCAGCACCACATAAGCAAAAAGAAAAAAGCCGGAAGTGGCGCTGTGGCTCAAGTGGTAGAGTGCTAGCCTTGAGCTGAAGAGCTGAGGGACAGCGTCCAGGCCCAGAGTTCAGGCCCCACAACCGGACCCAAAAAAAAATAAAACAATTTTATAATTGTTATCTCTCTTAAGGGAAATAGAGATAAAATTAATGACTAAAAATTCCTTGGAGGAAGCACTGAATGGAATAAAGCTACCCAACTGGAGAAATGCTGTTAGGAAAAAACTGACCTTGTAGTAAAATAACCGATCTGAGAACTAGAGAGTAAATAAATTTAAACTGATCACACATTGCAAAATCCTTATATAACCCTAGTGAAATTGCTCTCTTATTAAGAAGTGGCCTGGGTAAACAAGTTTTAATTGGTCCTAAGCTTTTTTCCAGCTGTGTGGGTGGGGTTGCTTTATTTTGTTTCTAAACTACATTCATGAGAATGACATTCTCTTAAATACATTTTCATTATTCAAATCTCTTATTTTTATTTTATTTTATTTATTTACTTTGCCAGCCTGGGGGCTTGAACTCAAGGCCTGGACACTATCTTTGAGCTTCTTTTGCTCAAGGCTAGCCCTCTGCCATTTAAGCCACATTGCCACTTCCAGCCTTTTCTGTAAATATGGTACTAGGGAATGGAACCCAGCGCTTCGTGCACACTTGGTAAGCAATCTACCACTAAGCCACACTCCCAGCCTTACCTTTAATCTCTAAGCAGAAATTACCATTTTTTAAAATAAGGTGCAGAATCTTTACTAATGAAACATTTTATTTTGTTTTCTGCCCTTTGGCTGCTTGCTTCTCCAATTAGAGATTTCTTGCTTTCTTTCTTTCTCTTTCTTTATTCTCTTTTTTTCTTTTTCCGGTCCTGGGGCTTGAACTCAGGGCCTGGGCACTGTCCCTGAGCCTCATTATGCTAAAGGCTAACACTACCACTTGAGCCACAGCACCACTTCCGTGTTTTTCTGTTTATGTGTTACTGAGGAGTTGAACCCAGGGCTTCATGCATGCGAGGCAAGCATTCTTCCACTGAGCCACATTCCCAGCCCCTGAGCTGCTGCTGCTTTTTTATTTTTTTCTTCATTTTTAATTTTATTGTCAAGATGATGTACAGAGGGGTTACAATTACATAAGTAAGGTTGTGAGTACATTTCTTGTTGAACTTGTTATCCCCTCATCCCCTGAACTTCTTTTGCTCAAGGTTAATACTCTACTACTTGAGTCACACTGCCACTTCTGGCTTTTTCTGTTTATATGGTACTGAGGAATCAAACCCAGGGCTTCATGCATGGTAGGGAAGCACTCTACCATTAAGCTACATTCCCAGCCTTGTCCTTTAATTCTTTTTTCTTATTAGCAGAAAATTTTTCCTGTGTTATGACAATAATGTAGGTGGAAAATGTAGAAGGCAAAGGAAGGAACACTAGACTTCTGACATTTAGATTAAAGCTCATATTCAGGAAAAAACTTCTTAAATGTAATTGTCAATTATATAAATTATAGTTTTTTGTTTTGTTTTTGTTTTTCCCGGTTGTGGAGCTGAACTCTGGGCCTGGATGTCCCTTAGCTCTTCAGCTCAAAGCTAGTGCTCAAAGCTAGAGCCACAGCACCGCTTATGGCTTTTTCTGCTTTATGTGGTGCTGAGGAATCGAACCCAGGGCCTCATGCATGCAAGGCACCCACTCTACCACTGAGCCACCTTCTCAGCCCACAGTTTTAAGAACATAATTAACAAAATTCTAACCCAATACCTTTAGACATGAGAAAATAGAAATTCACGGCCTAGGAATGTGGCTCAGTGGTAGAGTGCGTGCCTTGCATGCATGAGGCTCTGGGTTCGATTCCTCAGCACCACATAAGCAAAAAAAGAAAAAAGCCGGAAGTGGCGCTGTGGCTCAAGTGGTAGATCACTAGCCTTGAGCTGAAGAGCTGAGGGACAGTGCCCAGGCCCAGAGTTCAGGCCCCAGGACCAGACCCCTCAAAAAAAAAAAAAAAAAGAAAAGAAAAGAAAATAGAAGTTCAGACAGTGTGACAAGTTGTCAAGATTTTTTTTACTTTATTTTTATTTTTTTTGTCGGTCGTGGGGCTTGAACTCTGGGCTTAGGCACTGTCCCTGGGCTCTTTAGCTCAAGGCAAGCGCTCTACCACTTGAGCCACAGAGCCACTTTCCATTTTCTAGTGGTTAATTGGAGGTAAGTGTCTCATGGAATTTCCTGCCCAGGCTGGCTTTGAACCGAGACCCTCAGATCTCAGCCTCCTGAGTAGCTAGGATTACAGGTGTGAGCCTGTAAAAAAGGCGCCTGGCCTTCTTTTTTTTTTTTTTTTAAATGATGTTGGGGCTTGAACTAAGCACCTTGTGCTTGCTAGGTAGGTACTTTTCTACTTGAGCTGGGTTCCCAGTCATGTTATGATTTGTTTGTTTATGAATATATATGTGTTTATTTATTTATTTATTTATTGTTGGTCGTGGGGCTTGAACTCTGGGCCTGGGTTCTGTCCCTCAGCTCTTCAGCTACACTCCTGGTTTTCTGGTGGTTAATTGGAGATAAGAGGCTCATGGACTTTCCTGCCTGGGCTGGCTTTGAACTGCAATCCTCAGCTCTCAGCCTCCTGAATAGTTAGGATTACAGGAATCAACCACCAGCACCCGGCTTATATATGTGTTTATTATTTAGTGCTGGTATGGGGACTTGAAGTCAAGGCCTCTCATTCTCAGCTTTCTTGCTCACAGCTTGTATTATACCACTTGAGCTATACCCCTAGTTTAACTGGCTAGTTGGAGATAGAATCTCAAAGATTTTTCTGCCCTTTGATCATTGAAGTCTCAACCTTTTGAGTAGCTAGGATTTACAGGTGTGATACACCAGGACCTGTCAGCTTTTTTTCTGTATGGAATCTACTTTTGCCCAAGGCTGGCCTTGGGCCATGATCCTCTTACTTAAGACCTTCTGAGAAGCTGTGATTTAAAAATGTGTTTGCTACTCCTTGAGGAAGGGAATATGTTACCATTACTGCCTGGGGTGACCTCAAACTGTGATCCTTCAGATCTCTGCCTCCTGAGTAGCTGAGATTATACATGTGATCTACCATCCCCAGCCTCAAGGTTGTTTTTTTTTTTTTTGCACTGGTATTGGGGCTTAAACTTAGGGTCTCAGGTTTTTACTTCGTTATTGTTATTATTATTATGTTTAATATAGAATCTCTTTTGGACTTTTGTGTTGTTGTTATGCTTGACTTTATTGTATTTTAAAATCTGAGAAACTGTTCTTGTACAAACACCTGAGGCCTCATCTCCCTGCAATTTAAGGAAGACCTAGTTTGTCGCTTAGTCTTTTTGCTCATGGTTGAACCATGCCTCTAGCG